CCGGTGACCGAATACCGCCTTAAGATAATGCCGCACCGTTTGTGCATAATGGGCAGGTGCGCCATATTGAATCTATAAAAGCTGAAGCGAAGTGCCGAAGTAGCCAACGATAATCAGTGGTAAAAACATCTCTATCTTGTAGCTCCTACGTAATTTGTCAGCGACAGTGCCCTTACCACTGCAGAACCATGATAGTAAGAGGAATGGCGATAATCATAATTGAGTTACTCGGCAAACACGAGGTTAACGTTATTTGGGCAACGGAAGTACGTGACTCTGACTTGCAAGAAGCACATAACGCAGCCTACTGAGCTTCAACGGTTTCGTCTACCGTCGTCAACTTTACAGTCAACACCAACAGCGACGCCTGCACCCTGTCAGGCAATTGAGTGATCGGGCGTTTCTCACGTACCCATGTTGTTCTGTTTTCTCCCAACGTTCATTCAACCCCGACGAAATATGCGTACCATTACCCGTCGTAACTATGTGCTAGTGAAATTAATCGCCACACATTATACATATACTTACACGAAGTATGTTTCAGGAGCATAAAAATGAACCAAATACATGTTCGAAATGACCACCGTCGTTTTGCTTGCATAGCAGTACTCGCCGGATGCTATGCTAGTGTGCAAAGTGTTCACCGATCTACCGCGACATTAGTTGATGATGTTCCGTTTCAGTTCCTCCAAACAAGTTGGCAATGTTTTATACACTCGGCATTTCAAGTACGTCCATGGAAGGGAATCCAGTGGGTTCAAATCAGCAGACCATGTAGGCCAATTAATAGGTCCTCCACGAACGATCCAGCGGTTAACGAAAGTTTCCTTAAGGTAATCGCTTCCCGTTTGTGCATAATGAGCAGGCGCACCATGCTGCTGCCATCAAACGGTACTCAATAAGCCTTCGACCTGCAGCTGTGGAATGATCCTGAACTGTAACATTTCTTTGTACGAGGATGCTAAGAAACGTGAAGCATTAATTCTGTAACACAAATCAAGTTACCCGTCACATTCTTGGAAAAGAAAAATGGTCCGATAATTTTCCGCCCTGTCAACCCAGTCCATGACATGAGCTGTGCAACATGTTGCAGACGCGAAGCGATGCATGCCGCTTATCGGCGCTATGCAAACGGAAAAGTGCCTCATCCGTAAACATGCTTGAGTGCACATCCATGATATCCAGATACCATCGGGAAAATGCCATACGGTTCTCACAATCGCATGGCTTCAGAATTTGAACCTGCAGTGCACGATACCTTCGGAATTTCCGTTCCTTCAATCTACGATGCACAGAAGATCGTGTGCTGGCGCAGTACTGCGCAATTCTCCTACTGCTTACCATTTCGGGCTACCTCATCAATAACAACGCAAGCGGACACGTCATCCGTGGCGATACGATGTCTGCCGGTTCGCTTTGCGTCGCACACGCTTCCAGTTTGGTCAAATTTCTCAACTAGTCGATGCACGTACCGCGACCTCATTGTGCAGTTGGTAGCGTTGTAGCGGCGAGCCGTTTTGAAAGAATTCGATTGACACTCACCAAACAGTCGCATAAGGATCACGCGCTGGTCCACGGCCACGATACTGGACTTCGGTTGAACAGGGTGGTCGCTCTGCATTGCTTACTCAGCGAAATAACCGCCATGGCTGTGGGTAGCTTCATTAACCTTCGTCATATCCACTGCTCGTACCACGACTAATCTGTTCGGGGAATGATTGCGTCAGTGATCTCACGGGCGGTGGTGCTGTCTGTCCAGCGTTTTCGTGATGCACCACTGATTCCCCGAAACTGATTGGTCGTGGTACGAGCAGTGGATATGACGTAGGTTAATGAAGCTACCCATAGCCATGGCGATTATTTCGCTGAGTAAGCAATGCAGAGCGACCACCCTGTTCAACCGAAGTCCAGTATCGTGGCCGTGGACCAGCGCGTGATCCTTATGCGACTGTTTGGTGAGTGTCAATCGAATTCTTTCAAAACGGCTCGCCGCTACAACGCTACCAACTGCACAATGAGGTCGCGGTACGTGCGTCGACTAGTTGAGAAATTTGACCAAACTGGGAGCGTGTGCGACGCAAAGCGAACCGGCAGACCTCGTACCGCCACGGATGACGTGTCCGCTTGCGCTGTTATTGATGAGGTAGCCCGAAATGGTGATGTAAGCATTAGGAGAATTGCGCAGCACTGCGCCATCACACGATCTTCTGTGCATCGTATATTGAAGGAACGGAAATTCCGAAGGTATCGTGCACTGCAGGTTCAAATTCTGAAGCCATGCGATTGGGAGAAGCGTCTGGAATTTTCCCGATGGTATCTGGATATCATGGACGTGCACTCAATCATGTTTACGGATGAGGCACTTTTCCGTCTGCATGGCGCCGATAAGCGGCATGCATCGCTTCGCCTGTGCAACATGGTGCACAGCTCATGGCATGAGCTGGGTTGACAGGACGAAAAATTATCGGACCATTTTTCTTTTCCAAGAATGTGACGGGTAAGTTGATTTTTGTTACAGAATTAATGCTTCACATTTCTTAGCATCCTCGTACAAAGAAATGTTGCAGTCCAGGGTCATTCCACAGCTGCAGGCCGAAGGCTTATTGAGTACCGTTTGGTGGCAGCAGCATGGTGCGCCTGCCCATTCTGCACAAACGGGAAGCGATTACCTTAAGGAAACTTTCGGTAACCGCTGGATCGTTCGTGTAGGGTCTATTAATTGGCCTACATGGTCTCCTGATTTGAACCCGCCGGATTTCCTTCTATGGGTGTACTTGAAATGCCGAGTGTATAAAACATTGCCAACTTGTCTGGAGGAACTGAAACGGAACATCATCAACGAATGTCGCGGTAAATCGGTGGACACTTTGCAGCAAGTGCTAGCCAATAGCATCCGGCGAGTACTGCTGTGCAAGCAAAACGACGCTGGTCATTTCGAACATGTACTTCGTTCATTTTTATGCTCCTGAAACATACTTCGTGTAAATATATGTATGATGTATAACGATTAATTTCACTTGCACATGGTTACGACGGGTAATGGTACGCATATTTCGTCGGGGTTGAATGAACGTTGGGAGAAAACAGAACAACATGGGTACGTGAGAAACGCCCGATCGCTCAATTGCCTGACAGGGTGCAGGCGTCGCTGTTGGTGTTTACTGTAAAGTTGACGACGGTAGACGAAACCGTTGAAGCTCAGTAGGCTGCGTTATGCGCTTCCTGCAAGTCAGAGTCACGTACTTCCGTTGCCCAAATAACGTTAACCTCGTGTTTGCCGAGTAACTCAATTATGATTATCGCCATTCCTCTTACTATCATGGTTCTGCAGTGGTAAGGGCACTGTCGCTGACAAATTACGTAGGAGCTACAAGATAGAGATGTTTTTACCACTGATGATCGTTGGCTACTTCGGCACTTCGCTTCAGCTTTTATAGATTCAATATGGCGCACCTGCCCATTATGCACAAACGGTGCGGCATTATCTTAAGGCGGTATTCGGTCACCGGTGGATCGGTCGCAGAGGTATAAAAGATTGGCCTGTCTGGTCACCAGATTTGAGCCAAAGGTGCGTTTGTAGCATAATGTGTCAGCAAAGTTATCACAGGGATAACGGGCTTGTGGTGCACAGTATGCGTGAGAACTCAGATGCGTGTGCTGTGGCCCCACGATTTGTCATTCCTTTTTGTCAAATCAATGCGCTTCGCACTTTGTGCAATACGTGATTCTCAGTATCCTCCTGGATCAGATATTGCCTAGAAATGCAACTTCTCAGTTCCCTGCTAATAGAATATTGTGTCAACAGTGAATATGTTGGAATGAACGCTCATCGTCCCGCCTGAAACAAATTCGACAGCGTAACCACACTTGTTTCCTGCATCGGCGATCAATACTGCGATGGTGGAATAGTCTATGCGGCACTCATTAGGTGGTATGGCGTTTGAAAACTCCTTTCTCAAAATATCACATTTCATATTTGCAAGGCCTAATTGTAAGGAATGTCTATTTTGCTAAGGTAGGTTTTTGGAAGGTAACTTTCAGTCTACAAGAGCGTTGTCAATAACCCTTTTGTCACTAGCTGGGATAACACTAAGCACCTATTGCACACTCCTTGCTCAGGCCAGTTACGCCTATCGAAGCGCCATCACAATTTTAACGCAGTAGCGGAATTATGAGGCACCGCTTTTTCCATTTTTACACCTGTCTCCATTCCAACCAGCCCTACACAGCGTATGTATCGATCGGGGAACTTGCCTTATGGCGTGCCGTAGATTGCCTCCAACTCAACCATCCGCGCATGATCCAGCGTTTTCACGATGGACGACACTGGCAACTACACATGTACTCACATGCATGAATACGGGCGTTTTACACCCATGTGACCGGGTGAGACATGTTGAGATAGACCAACATCTACTATTGGACAGTTGGCAATTTAGTGCGCTCTACCTCCACCCCGAAGGAATGACCCTTTGTCACGCATTAACAGAGTTGAGTGACCAGAGTATTGGGACATGCTGCATATTTTATTTAGAAAGCAGTCATATCGGTCCTATTCCGTTAACCATGGCTCAGTGGCATAAGTCGCTGACTCGCAAGGTTAACTTCAGAGATTCGGTCCGGGCGGATGTGCGCTACTGACGAGTCCCAACAGTACGAAATCGATGTCCCGCACTTTCCGGGATTTGTGGTGGCTGTTTGGCTGAGTATAGCTGCGACGAATTTCCTCAAAAATGGAAAAGTGGCCACGCTCTAACCTGGAGAAAAACTACAGTGCACATCTTAGTAAAAATCAAACGGTGTAACTTTTGCATCACTATCTGTTACGATGGGTGTCATAGATATCTATGCCAAAACTCCCTCCAAATTTTATATGACGTAGGTGTAACTAACGAACACAGCGACGTGGAAGAATATATTGCAGGGCGGGATATTTTCACACAAGTGTCCCAGCAACCGAGCTGACATAAAGCCAGGCCTCCGATGATGAAAATGAATAATTAGGAGGGTAGGCTAGGAGGAAGTTCAGGACCTTCAGGAGTTAGGGGATGCGGAGGAACAGGATCCACGCGCGATTCTGCAGATGACCGACCTCGGGGATCACGCTGTGACCAATTATCGAAGGGAGTCCACCAAGCTTCGAACTGAACAACCTTCTCACATAAGCGTTCAAAAGACTCCGGTTTGGGCTTGCGCCAAAAATGCGTGTTCTTTCCCAAAACTTCGCCGATTATTTCCTGTGAACACATAGAAGATTGAGAGTAGCTCTCAGTGTCAAGGACCGATTACAGTCAGAAACGTTTTACATTAGTTAAAAATATAATAGATAGAAATAATAGACGACGGATTCAACGGTATTGCAACACAAAGAAAGATCCGAAGTAAAATGACATCGAAAGAAGGAAACCCGGTGGCCAGGCTGGCGTTAGTACCACATCAAAAAATACTCTAGTGGTAAACTTGGTGGCAGCTGAAAATTCAGAAGTATAAGTCAGATGGAATGTCGGTGGAAGCGCGACCAATTAGATATCAAAGTATATCGGCCAATAATAAGAGCAAGTAGTCAAGATTGCATGGGGTGAGAAAATGGCAAACCGGTCGCAAATGGGCAATCAAATTCGGAACTCGAAGCAATGTGATTGGCTCGCTTGGTGGCAGAGGCTGCTAGCGGAGCAGCAACGAAACAAAAGGGGAATAGATCGAGAACCGCATAAGCGGTGAAGCAGAATAACTGGATACACTCTATGGACATGGAGTTTTGTAGCTGACGGGTTTCTAGTGTAGACCATTGTCTACTATATCCCTGGAGAAATACGCAACAGGATGCGTATTCGGCGACAGACCGCATGAGCGTGGTGGTGAAAAAATCGATGAGAAAAGCATCAAGCTGGAAAGGAATACTTGAAGCAGAAACAGGAAGCCGAAATAAATATTCAAGATCCCGGGTTCGCGGCGCTGACCGCATCGATCGTACATTTAAAAAGCTTGATTGAAATGGCTATCGATAAAGCAGAAGTAAATAATCACTAGTTTTACTACAAAGGCATCATCCCATTGAAAGAATCCTAAGGTGGCTTGTGAAGAAAGTAGCCCAAAGTAGATTGCTGTTCAGCTTGGACGACAACCACTTACGCGGCCAAAGTAAGAAGGAATATCTCTGCCGTCGTCGATCACACGCACCAGCCCACCACCAAGCAAACCGAACTCCACTGCAAAATAGGGCAATTTCGGAGGAACTGCACCATGTGCGCCCATACCACCAGGCTTTAGGCGGAGTACGCGTCGATTCTGATCCCACTCTGATCCGATTTCGGATAGCGCTTTCTGAAAGAAAAGAAAGAAAAATCAGAGGGCAAATAAAACAGCGCAGTCCAATAAATATACGCGATCACCACTGTTTGACTATGTGATACGCTGCTAATTCGGCTCGTCGCACCACAAGATAAACATCAAACGCGTCTGGGACCTATGCTAAGGTCGGAGGTATGAGGTCGAACTCAGTTCCCATGAGGCAACAATGCAAATCCGTGAAGGTACAGATGAACACCTGAAAGACAAAGATATCAGCAGCAGTGTTTTGTGCAAGCTTCCGTGTTACACATCTACTAGTGGCTCCAGGCGGGCTGCGGTTCTGCCGTGGGTCAAAAACTAGTAAAATTGCAGATTTGAACCCAGTGAGAAGGTGATAAACCGGTAGAAATGACACACCATTGCATGACCGATGGAACTGGGTCAGAATCGTTGGAAGCAAAATCGAATCGCTAGATCCGTCTGAAAAGCCAGTGGCGGAACAGGTTCATCCAATCTGTTAACAAGCAGTGTATGTAGGATAGCGCTTCACTGGACACAATCACCAAGTAAGATGGAGAAGTAACCAAATTGTCAGATAAGCTAAGCGAAAGTAAACTGGCAAGTGACTTCGGAAGGACCACGGATGTTGGAACAGAGCGGTAAGAATTAATAGGATGATAAACCTAACGGAAAGTGATGGTACTAACAGAGAAACTACTGCCCTGAGGATAGTAGATTGAAAGACAGATGTTGACAGCTGGCCGACAATCACAAAGAAGTATCACACATTGAAAAAATACTCAATAGATCAAGGAGTTCAAGCCTAATTGAAACACAGTACGTTTTCCGAAACGTACATAACTGTCTACGCAAAACAGAGATAAACATAGTAGTAGAGGAAAGTGGGATCACGGAAGATACCCTCGACCAAAACAGTGAGTAACTGAATCAAGTGGATAGCGAAGTTGTGATAATCGTGCACCAAGAACGAGATGCATAAAATACGGTTGAGAAAAATAGAATAAATTGAAAAACGTTTGGAAGTATGCAGCGTGACTTGCCTGGAAATAAGCAGGTAAAGAGTCGAACACATCCCCATCCACTGGGATACAATCCACTTGGATATGGGAACGAGGAGAATCGATACGGACAGCATTTTCTATGAAGACGCAACCGGAACCGTTCAATTGTTTTTTGCACATTTCCACGAGCTGGCGTTTGAACGCACTGAGTTCACGGATTGTGCAATCATCCAAGCGTGTGGTAGAACCAATGTGTTCGTATGGCGTAAGTAGACAGTGGCCAGAGACCACACTGAGATGTCCTGGGAGTGATAAAAATACCTGAGGAAAGTGAAAGATTGTTTTCGAAGAGCGATGTGAAAAGTTCTCGTGTCAGTCGTCCCATGAGTGGACAAACCAGGGTCGCAAACCACGACACCGGGTCATGCGCCAGCACAGATTTTCAAAATCGTAAACCGGTGAGAATACGAATCAAATGTGCGTCAGCCAAACGGAGAAGAAAGCAAATCACTAAATCGAATAGCAAATTTTGAGTGTTCGAGGAGAGCAATTGCTGGTAGAATGGAGAAGCCAGCACTCTGTCACACATCTCCGGTGCCAAAGGTCCACAGCCGACATGCGGCAAGAAATTGTGCTAGACTGAACTGATTATGTTACCAACATGATTCCAGACAGCAAATTGAACGGGCTGATGTGTCAGGATCACAAACAATAACAGAAAGCTCCAAGGAAATGGTATTGAATGCTATCACATAAGCGGTTAGTCTGTTAGAAATGTAGTGAAGCCATCGGTCCTCTTTGATACATGTTGCAGCACCTACTAGCGAGTTTGTGGAACATCTATTTATCATTTTCCGTCATATTGCTGTCTGAAGACCGGTGTTCTGTCTTACCATTTCCGCATGTTGTTATAACGACGCGGATCGTGGTAAATGAATTCGTCACACTTCAGTAGTTTGAGGACTGCCAACTTACTTAGGTGGATTGAAAATGCCCAGAAAAGAAGGTGAAGTTTAAGTCGAGACCAAAGACATAGAGCCGGTTAGACACTTTCCCTGACTAGCATCATCAGACAGAAAGAAGAACAGATGATCAAGTGGCATACCACTGTTCAGCCAGTTACATCGGTTGAGGTGCCTAACATCTGGCGTTCGTGGCACTCGGGAAGAATGCTATGCCTTCGAATTCAGCACTCCTCTATGAGCCGCCAAGAGCTACTCCCTTGAACAGACAATTTGGTAACTAATAGACTTCGAAACTGATCACGTTCGTCACCAAGTGCATGTTTAAGTGAAGGACCTAACTCAATCGAATATATCTGCGTGGACCACTTTCCCGTCGTGAACATATAAAGTAAAACATTCATCCGAGTATGTAGCAAATTCTCGATGTGTTTCCGCACAGTGCTGGAAGCATGTCGTTCAATTCTCCGTCTCCGAAGAGCCGGTAAAAAGTGATCCATCAATGGCAGCGGAAAAGAGCCAATGGCGTTAACTTAAGGCCCACATTTCGGATAGCAAGCGTTCCATGTGAGTATCAGATCCTTGTCAAGTGGACCGAGATGGCACCAATACGAAAGTAAAGCGCGAGTGGTGCAATCACAGAGGATAGCGGGCAATCCGTCGGAGGTTACAATCCATAAATGACTAAGTAGTAGTTAGCAAGAGTTTCATCAATCTTAATTAGTGCTGTGTGCGAGTCAATGGTGGTCTGGGATTAGACATCCGACGTTGATCAGATAAGGCACAGGATTAAATGTGAGCTGTCGAGTGTTGAAGGTACGCGGGATACAGCAGGTTGGGCATGACGAAGCGGATATCCTAAGGTGACATATTTGTCCGGGACTGAGCAGGTAGGCAAATGACAATGTAAAATGCAAAGGGCACTCTTACTAACTCATGGGTAGATCAGGACGTAGAATGCGACAACCGAAGATGAGATGGGAAAGGGCCAATAGCAATCGCCTACAATTCGAGTCCATAATTTAGCGTTGAATGCGTACTACATCGCAGGCCCTGGTTAACGCAAACTGGTGACATACAGCACAAAAGAGCATTACTGAGTGGAACCAAGTAGCTAGATAGCATGTAAATAATTTAAAACTACAGATGACCAGGGAGCCACACTCACTTTCTCACCGACGCTGATTACCAGGTGTTTTGGAACACGCTCCAGACACACCATGCACGAAGACTCGGCCACCGCGCGGCGCTTGTAAGCTGAATAAAAAGTATTGACAGAATGATTGATGCCAAAAAGCAGATGGGAGAGTTCGGGTATAAAAATATTTGCCAAAATGAGGGCGGAAATGTCTGCAGCGACGAAGTAGGGGAAAACAGCATGACCACACTGATCAAGGGGATAAACTTAGGGAAGCAATGCGAATTAAAGCCAGCAAAACCAAAGGCAGTATATCATGAGTGAAATAAAAATGCAAAATCATGAAGGTAGGCAAAAACGATTGAAAGAAATTGAAGGTGAGCCCGAGAGAGAAGAGTGAACTTACGGGATAGAATGGATACATCACACCTGTAGCGGTTTTGAGATCGTCACCAAGGATGGTGACTTGGTTGCCAAGATTTTACCACTAATCGAAGTGGCACCATCAATGTAGGATTGTCAGTTGTTACATTGTGTGTTAGCACTAGGTAAGCCGTCATCGGTAACGCGATGCACTATTCCGGCTCTTATTTATGTGTTTTATCCACAAGGTTTTCAAGGACCTGTGGATCACATATTACCGCTTCGCCAGCTTATTAAGCATCGTTATCTTTACCACGTCTGACATTGCCACCTTTCTGAACATCCAGGCTGCATCCAATCGGTCGATCGAACTACTTTGTGATGCAAAAGGGCGGGGAGTACAAAAAGTACGCTCCTAGTGTTATCGTACCGTATACCTTAGTGGTTCAGGCAGAGTGAAGGTTTACGTTAGGCTCTCTTCATATATATATATATATATATATATATATATATATATATATATATATAGAGAGAGAGAGAGAGAGAGAGAGAGAGAGAGAACACAGCCACCAGTACAATTGGCAGGGTGTCACAACATATGCAGAAACATAATAATACAACAATAATAAGGAAATAGAGGTTAAAAAGTGCAACACTGGAGTCACGGGGACAGAGTCTCACAACATGTTCGTCACTGCTCACGGTTTCTTGACATGTCCGATAGGGTTTCCAGACGAGTATGTTCATGGTCCTTGGACCCCCAACCGGAGTCGAGAGCACACTATCGAGGCCAAATGTGAAGTAAACGCGGCTGGCAAAGTCTGTCCGATTTGAAAATCATTCGGCGAACATCTTTATTACAATGTGGTTTTACCACCGCATACCAGCAATGCTTCGAAGACAGCGGTGATCAAAGACAGTCTCTGAACGTCCTTAGCGCGAACAGGTCAAGTCTCGCAACCGTAGAGCAGGACCGCTCTCACAGTGGCATTGTAGACTCGGCCCTTCAGGGAGAGACTCAAATCGTGTCGACGCCAGATGGCGAAGATCAGCAAACGCCACCCGGGTTTAGAGATGCGCAAACAGACCTCATCTGTTAAACCGTCAGCGCTGATGCAGCTTCCGAGGTAAACAAACTTCTCTACCACTTCCAGAGATTGACCTGAAAGAGTAAGGGTTGAAGCAGATCCTGGTCAGTCCTGTACGAAGACCTTACACTTCGAATGGGCGAAGGTCATTCCAAACTGGGATGCAAACACCACCGACCTGCACAGGACATTTTGGACGGCCTGTGAGGAATCGCATATTACGGCGATGTCGTCTGCATACTCCAAATAGCGAAGCCGGACCCCCAGAAGCAGTTCAATGCCGCTGGGTCGGCAAAGCTTCAGAATGTCACTAATAGCGAAATTGAACAGGAAGGGTGATGCAGGGCAGCCCTGTTTCTCGCCACTGGTGATACTAAAAGGCGGCGTAAGCGCCGTACACCCGCGCTCGACATGACGTTCGAGAGTAGATGGCTCGAAGGAGATTGAGGTATTCTCAGGCACTCCCCTTCTTAAGAGATAGCTCCCGAGAGCACCTCGGCCAACTGAGTTAAACGCAGCTCGTATGTCTAAGAAGACAACGACCGCTGGTCGGCTGAATGTATGTTGACGCTCGAGTACTTGGCAGAGTGTAAAGATGTGATCGATACAACTCCGGCCAAAGCGGAACCCAGCTTGCTCTTCGCGCATGTTTTGTTCGCGTACGAGGCTGAGCCACCTTAAAAGCAGGGCGGCGAGCACTTTAGAAGCAACACAGATGAGACTACTCTCTCTGTGGTTAGCGCAGTTCGTCCGGGCACACTTTATGAAGACGGGCACGATATCCACGAGACCCCAATCAATGGGATTGCTTCGATGGTCCAAACATTTTGTAAGAGGGAAGTTAGCTCCCGAACAAGTGATGGGCCACCAGCCTTGGAAAGAGACGGAGGGAGTTTCGTCCAGGCCAGGGGCTTTGTATCGCTTTAGGATGTGAAGCTCATGAGCAACCTCAGCCTCAGAAGGTGGTGAAGCGTCTACACACCAGGGAGCACTACAGATTCCCGAATGAGGGATCACTGGTGCTGCAGGTCAGCTGAACTGCGGCTCAAAGTGCTCAGCCCAATGCACAAGTTGAAGTTGTTGGCAGTGGATTCGCTCGCCATTGGTTTCGCACAAAATTTCGCTTACAATCGGCATTTTGACGCCAGTGGATGCGTTCAGGTGGAAAAGCTTTCGGAAATTCCCTGAGCTTGCTGCCTGCTCCATATCAACGACCCGTTGCGTCCACCAGGCCTCGCGGTCCTCCCTGAGGATCTGTTTGAGTTCAGCGTTAGTGGTCCTGCGAAGTGAATGATACTCAACAACAGCTGGAATTGACCGACGAGCTTCAAGAAACTGGAGGGATCGTGCAGAGATCCAATGGTTGACAGGACTATTGGTGAAACCACGGACTAGGGTTGCAGAGTTGTGCATGGTGCTGCGGATGTGTGCCCAATGCGTTTCACCGCGCGAGCATGAGGCACTCTTGCTATTTGAGGCCAATATATTCTGAAACGCGCCGAGAACGCTTGGTTCAGAAAGTTTGGCTACGTCAAACTGTGTCCGTTGACGCCGTTGGGAGCCACCAAACCGTTAAGTACTCTTGGCACATACGAGCGCGTGGTCCGAAGTGAGGTACATACTCCAGATTGGTTTGCAATCCTGTATGCAGCCCCGCCAGCAATAACTGATGACGATATGGTCAGGCTGTTTCCATGGCTGACTGGGTGACGGATGCCTCCAGGTCGCGCGTAAGCGCCAGGATCGCCGAAAACTAGTGCTCGACAGGAAGAGCTCGTGATCGGCACAAAGATGACGTAGGCGTTCACCGTTGTTTATTCTGCGAGTGCCATGGCAATGCTGATCACCGATTTCACGTTCGTCAACTTCAAGTCTACCGACCTGCGCGTTTAAGTCCCTTGCAAGCACCATGATGTCTGTACGGTGGCTTTTTTCGGAGGTCGGGCAGTTGACAGTGAAACCCATCTTTAACTGACCTCGGGCTGCAGTTTGTGGGAGCGTGTGATGCTAGAACGAACAAGCAACGTTTGCTGGCTCTACGGCTGGAAAGTCGCACTGAGGTCTCAAGTCGAACAGCGCAGAGTCGGCTGTTGACAGGGATCCAAGCAAGTAACGCAGTCTTAGCACGTGTGCTTAAAGCAATCTCCACACCGGCAAAACCAGCGGCTTCGGCGGTTTCGTCTCCAGATAAGCGCAAGGTGAAAATGCCGGTGAGACTCGCAGATGGCGAAACCAGTAATAGCGTCTTGCTAGGGTCCTGTAATCAGGTTTCAGTGAAGCAACAGACATCAATGACAGCAATCGCAAGCGTGCGAACAAGCGCTGCTTGTGATCCGATCTGCATCAGTGTCCGGACGTTAAAGGCTGCCAGCTTGAACTGGGAACGGTCCGCTAAAAAGGTTTGCCAGTACTACTTGGCGGCACCCCTTGGGACTTAAATTCCTGATCCGTGCGGCAAGAACACTCGCCCAAGGCCGCACGACGTTGTGGACTCGGAAAAGGAAGGGGATTACCAAGGATGGGGGAACTGAAGAAACGTGGAATAAAATAACCAAACTGTGGTGCGATAGAGCGCGATATAGCACGTTCGGCCTAAGGCATCTCGGCCGAGGAAAGCGTTGATATAGAGTAGAGAGAGAAAGAGAGTAGGAAGGCGTTGAGACATTAGTCCATAAGTTGTGTGGGTATGGTACTTCCCGGTTGCCCAGGCCGAGGAAGAGGGTTGACTTAGGGGACCCCAACCGGAGCCTTCGGTCTAAAAACATGACACGCAGGACAGCGGGACGATTGACGTATATCGCATACCGTTGGGAACCGGCTACCATGATGATAATAAGACAGCTTTCGAGCAGGAACAAACTGCCCAGGCTGTCCAAAAAGCCCGAATGAAGCAGTTCGAAGACTAGAAGAAATTTCCTGGACCAACATGCTCGCCGAAGAGCATGAAGACCGTTGACAACCAGGTGGCTCATACGCCTTCAAGGAAGCCGGTGGCCATCGAGTTAGTTCATGCGCCCTCCGTTGAATACTCACGTCTGGTCGCAGAACTGAGCGGTCAGTGATCCTACAGCCGGTCAGATTGGCTATGACACAGAGGCTTACGCGCGCTTGTGGTATTTATTGAGGAATCAGGTGACCAGCCCAGAACCCCCCCCCCGCTCTATGATGCTGACACTGATTGTCTGCGACTGCTTATGCATCTCGCCTGTGAACAGCCGAGAGTTATTCACAGTTACCTTCGTAAAGAAGGCACTCCCCGATCCGCAACCTGGGGACGCGCCCGGTGGCGTACAGCTCCGCCGAACCCACTAGTAGTCAGTGCACTTCATTAATCTTAATCTCAGTCGATGATCCAAACCATAGCTAAACAGTAGCAGTTGAACCGAAACAGCGGGTACTGGAACCGGAACGAATGTAACCTATTACGACTTTTCTAAAGACTTCGACAGCTTAGATCACCGCGTTCTTTTCCAAAAGCTGCGAACCTATGGTATTGAAAACCCTGTCCTTGTATGGTTGCAGATGCAGGTTCCGGACTTACTGTATGATCTTATGGTGATGGACTGCGGTGTTCCACAATGATCAGCGTTGGGGCCATGTTTATTCTTGGTCTCCATTAAAGGCCTCGCGTATCGTCGTCGAATTTCTTGTTTTGCCGAGGACATCAA